GCAATGCTTTGGTAAATATGTCTGCAAGTTGATCTTTTGTTGAGATGAAATTGATTTGAATTTCTCCAGCAACAATTCTATCTCGTACAAAGTGATAATCTAACTCTACATGTTTGGTGTGAGCATGAAAGATGGGATTGGCACACATATATGTAGCTCCAAGGTTATCACATACACCATAATTTAGGAACTGAAATACCTGGAATATGGATTTCTCGTAGAAGGAACATGATCCTAATTACCTCAGCACAAATATCTTCTAGAGCTTTATATTCAGCTTCAGTAGAAGATCTAGCAACAGTTCTTCACTTCTTGCAAACCCATGATATAAGATTAGACCCAAGAAAAACAGCAAAGCCACTTGTGGATTTTCTATCCTCTGGACAGCCAGCCCAATCAGAATTAGAGAAGGTATGAATTTCTCTTGAAGATGATTGTCTGACTCGTAGACCAAAAGTAACAGTTCCTTTAACATGCCTTAAAACTCTCTTTAGTTGTTCCCATTGAGCAAATGTAGGTGTGTGCATGTGTTGACATAACTGATTGACTGCAAAGGAAAGATCAGGACGAGTAATACCGACTTCATGTTTTGAAACCTTGCTATGATAGTACATCCTATTATTTTTGGTAAGCTTTCTTACTTTGATAACTCAATATATTTCCAAAATTATTTTTACTTTTATATTATATTATATGGAGAATAACTCAATTATCAAGATTGTATGCAAGTTAGTGTCTAGGTTTATGATTTTTTTCATTTACATTTTATGGTATATATTTTGAACTTGTTCACAATAGTTGAACGATAGAAAACGTATGATTTTTTCCCCCTAGGTATCATTAAAATTCCATGTCATATTAACCCGTGTTTTTAATTATTGCTTAATGAAGTTATTAATGTTATACTAACTTGTGTTTTTCTCTATCAATAAAGGAACCAGGTAGCCTGATGCAGAACTTGGAAGTTTCATATTTCCGAGTCTAATTCAATGCTCTTTTTAATATATATATATATATATATATATATATATATATATATATATATATACACACACACACACACACACACACACACACACACACACACATATTGTATTGTAGTTATTAGCAAATCTATTAGAATACTTATTTTAATTATATCCTTGTAATTCAGTACTATATTACCATATTTTAATGCTAGTCATATCTAATTTATTAATTACTCTGTATATACCATTGTATTTTTTTGATAGTTAGTTTTTATAATTGAACTACAAATAAAAATATTTACAACCACCAAACAACATAATATTTATTGATGCATTTTGAATTTCATAGTAAATTCTTTTCGAACAATTCATAATACTCATCACTAATAACATAATACATGACAAAGATTTCAATATATAAAATGCCAGCAAATGTATATTTTGTGACGCATTTAAGATTTTGTCAATAAATTTTTCTTGATGATTTCTCAATTTTCGTCGTCAATCGTTATCATTGATGACAGGCATTAAAAAATATAAAGCATCAGTAAAGCTTTAATTAACAACGCTTTTTAATTTCATCGTGCATACTTTTGTCGTGGATTGCCCAAGCATCAGGCTTCTTACGCAACACAAGGTCCACTACTTCACAAACTGTCCGTGGATTGCCCAAGCCACGATCGTTCTAGCTAAGAGTACTCATGATGATGGGCGGGTCTGGGAACCAGAACCCGCCGAGGACAAGTTTTTTGGGACATCTGTCATTGTAATATCATCGCCACTACCTCCATTCCTCCTACCACCGCCACCAGACCCCTCCCTTCTACGTTTCGAAGCAGCCACCACCACGGCCTCCTCCTCCCGTCGGCCAACAGCCAAGACCGCCACAACGCCGGCAGTTTGTGTTTCCGACGCCGTAGCAGCAGCAGCCTACATCGGCTTCCCGTCCTTATCCAGCAACCACGGTGCAACCACCTTACGCGGTCCTCTCCTCAACCCGGAACGCAAGTCATCACTGTAAGGATATTGGTCGACCGCCCACGATGCACCCACCTTACGCGGTCCTCTCCTCAGCCCGGAACGCAAGTCATCACTGTAAGGATATTGGTCGACCGGTAAGGCCACATCCCGGGCCTTCAGACAATACTTATGCAAGTGTCCCAGCATCTCGTAGAAGAAACAGAAATTATGCAGCCTCTCGTACTTAAAATTCACTCAGCAGGTCGTCTTGTCACGTTTCAGAAGTCTCATACGCCGCTTTAACAGTTTCAACACAGATATTGAAACCCTAGTGCAGTAGAAATTTTTCCATGGTGCATCCGAGAACCTGTCATCAACCTTAACGAAAGTACCAAGAAAGTTTCCAATCTGCTCCAGAATCACGTCAGAGGTATACCCAAGCGGGAGATCATGGAGCTAAATCCACATATCAACCATGTCAAGAGGGATTGTGACCAGTAGGATACCATCACCAACCTACTTACAGACCAGAGTTTGGTTCTCAAACGACCACGGGCTACCATCAAGAACGAGCTGCATGTCAGTCTCGTGATAGAACACGAACAAGAAGAGATTTAGTTGTATCTCCGTCACATGAACTCCCTTCACCGGTTGCCATACCGAAGCCATAACTTGGCTCATAAACTCCACCTTAATAATTTTGGTTGTCAAAAACCTCCCCACCAGCCGCCACGCTACCTCCCCAGCCGTAGCACTCTCACCGTCGACTACTTCCACAGGTTCGAAGACGTCGTCTTCTTCCTCAAGGGCCATGTCAGCCCAACGTTGCGTCAATCCCGCGACAGCCCCGGACGTCGCTCCTACATCCATGCGTACAAAGAGAAAAAATCCGGCGCACTACCGGAGAGAAGCAATGGAAAGACACGACTGGAAAACCTCGGCTTACCAAAGAAAGATGCGAAACCGTAGAGCCCTAAAGAGAGAATTTTAGTATAAATTTTAGTAGGAAAATTACACTTTAACCTATATATATTTGGGACGATATTGAATTTGAATATAGGGAAAATTGTAATGTATGCTCCTCCATAATATACCAATTATCAATGTCACCCCTGAATTATTAGTGGTGTAAATTTTGCCCCTCAGATAAATTTTCAAAACGGTACATATATTGCCCCTCCCGTACTGTACGGGAGGGGCAATATATGTACCATTTTGAAAATTGAGAGGCAACATTTACACTATGGAGGAACAATATATGTATCGTTTTGAAAATTGAGAGGCAATATTTACACCACTAATAATTCAGGGATGACATTGATAATTGACATATTATGGAGGGACATCAATTACAATTATCCCTTGAATATACCATTTTTTTGGTTTTAATTTCATGTATCTTTTTATTTATATCAATAAGCACACTACTTTTTAGACTATAAAATTTTGTATCTAAGATATTATATATATATATATATATATATATATATATATATATATATATATATATATTGAAAGGTTCCCGTGCGGTTGTGCGGTTGATTAATGTGCGTGAGATTTGTACTCAATGTGCGTGAGTGTTGTGCTTAATGTGCCTGAAATTTGTACTTAATGTGCGTGAATGTTTAAAATGCAGCAGAAAATATCGATGTCAGCTTCTTCCCCATCCCCAGTAGCCATTGCCTCCTCCCTGATGATGATGATGCGGAGGCGGCTATGGTGGTTAAGAATTATGGGAACAATACAACAGAAATCCACACTTAGTTGGTGTGCAAATTTTGTTATGCGTGCGTCATCTATATAAACATTCAACTGCACTGAAGGTAGCTGATAATCCAGAATCCAGGGCCAAATTGAAGGAAGAAGTAACAAGAAGCTTGGGCGTTAATGTGCGTGAGTTTTCTGTTCTGCTTCCTTCTGAGCTCGTAATTCTGAACTGCTCACGCACATTAATCACAAATCTCACGCACATTAAGCACAATACTCAGGCACATTAAGTACAAAACTCACGCATATTAACATTACGCACATTAAGTACAAATCTCAGGCATATTAAGCACAAGACTCACGCACATTAAGTATAAAACTCACGCACATTAATCAACCGCACAACCGCACGGGAAGCCACAAATGCACCTGATCCCTTCCCTATATATATATATATATATATATATATATATATATATATATATATATATATATATATATATATATATATATATATATATATTTTTTTTTTTTTTTTTTTTTTTTTTTTTTGGTCAGACCATGAGGTGTCCTAAGCAGACCCTAACTATATGAGGCACATTTAAGTCAGTATCTTACTCTGACTAATCCCCATTTCCTAAACCCTAACTATAAGAGGCACATTTAAGTCAGTATCATACTCAGACTAATTCCCATTTCCTAAACCCTAAACCATAACTAGTATATGGGTAAAGTGCTGGCCATATTAGTTTTTCCATACGAGAGGGAATTCGAACTCCCGACCTCTCCCTTAAGAGTGCATAGCCACTCACTACAACCAAATTGGTTTCTAAGATATTATATTTGAGTTCAACTACATGTAATTTAAAGTGTCTACACCAAAATTTTGAATGTGAAAATAAAAGTTAGTAGAAAACTAGAGAAAGCATAGTATTTTGTATTATATTTATTTTAATTGTTATTCCCAAATCTTCAAGAGTGCCTGCGAAATAGACAGTAGACAAGACGAAGAAAGACCATTGTCGCAAAGAAACATTCCTTAAATCGCCGGTTCGGCAGACGGCAGCCGTTTGGAGTCTGGACTCTGGAGACTAAAAAAGTTGTTTAGTTATTTCGAGATTGTTAACGTCGTCCAAATTTAATAAACTGAAGAAGAACAAATTAAAGTAATGCATCCTTGATCTTTCCCATAACGGTTTGCATAATAAATTTATCACATTTTCTTCTCCCGGCCCAAAGGTTGAATCCCCGACCCTAGCCCGATAGAACATTTAAGAAGATGTAAATCATCAAACCTTGATCTCTTCTTTCAAATATTGACTACTAAACTGTTGAGCTAAACTTGTGTGGCGGCACCTTTTTTAATTTTTTTTGAGTATTACTGACTCCGTTACAATACAATATTCGTTCATAACTACTTTCTCAACCTATTCAAACACAAAAATGAGCAATTGTATATCACTAGAGCACAAGGTCCTTTGCGTAATCTCCTTATTACATACCATTTGGGTTTCTTGGAATATGCATTCCTGCATAGAGGCAATAGTCTGTTATTCTTGTCATTTAGGTAAAATCCAATATTAACGTAACTATTGGTTAAACTAACTGATAAATTAGTCTCATTGATATTAGTAAGTTAGTTGAATTGTATTTAATTGTGAGATTAAAAAACAGAATTTCTGTTTATGATCTCAGATTAGTAGTTTAGGTGAGGGACTAAATAATTCTTGAAGTTGGACATTTACATTGAACTGAAGAGTGATTATTTGAGAATTTATTGATTGTGGTATTTAGCTGTTACATATATACCTACATAATATTGTTGCTTCATTAAATCTCTTTGTTTCATAAGTAATTTTATTTATTTATTATTTTTTTTTTTGGAAAAAGTTTCATTAAGTTAGACTCCTTGTTTGGAAAAAGTTTCTTTAGTGCTTATCAGCCTAACTATATATGAGCAAACAAACACACCCCTCACCCGGATGCAGGTACCCACCATTTATCATCTTATTATTTTTTTCAAAAACTTCCACATAATAAAATAATAAAATTCATTACTTATACTAAAACATAAAATAATAAAAATATTTAAATATAATAACTAAACTATTAATTTTTAAAAATAAACTTAGTAGTTTAGATATAAAAATAGTAAAAAGTTATACGAAGTTATAGAAACTTTTATAAATAACTATATATTAGTACTTATTTTACTATATATATATATATATATATATATATATATATATATATATATATATATATATATATATACATATACATATATATATACACACACACATGGTGGGTTGGGTGGGGTTCTAGGCGGGTTTTGTACACAGAATTCAAATCTAACCCAATCCACCGCGGATTTACTTTTTTAAGACTCACCCCGACCAACCACCCACTATTACCTAAAAAATTCTGACCCATGCGGAGTAGATATCTACGGGGCGGATTGAAATTGTCATCCCTAATAAGCATTGTTGCTATATGTTTCATATTTTGGTTATGGTGAATAAGTTGATACACAATATATATATATATATATATATATATATATATATATATATATATATATATATATATATATATATATATATTTTGTTGATACTAAGACTTAGTATAGGTTGGTTAGAGTCTGTTACCTAGTCTATTGGGTTTGTTTGTGTAGTTCAATTCCTTCTTCTGTGGGATTACACTCTATTTATTGCTTCTGTAATTCACTCAATAATACACTTTTAGTTCACACTCCCATATGGTATTAGAGCCTTAACTCTAATGAGATCTTTTTCCTTCCTCTCCTTTCCTTGGTTTTTTTTCCCCCCCGACATGGCTGCCACACCTCAAGCTACTGTCATCCAAATCTATGCCCCTTCTCATCTTCCAATTAAACTTACCACATCCAACTTCCCCATTTAGAAAAAGCAGGTGGAATCTACACTCACCGGCTTAGACCTTGTAGGCTTCGTTCATGGTACGAAGCCAGCTCCGGCGAAGTACACGGACGCAGCGCAAACAGTATCTAACCCGGCCTACATGGCGTGGTATCGACAGGATCAAATTATCCTGAGTGCACTTCTAGGCAGTTTGACCGATTTTCTACAGCCTATCATCTCATCGGCTTCATCGGCGTTTGATGCTTGGACTCGGCTATCCACGACCTGCGTAGCCTCATCCCGCAGCCGCATTGTCTCGTTGAAAGCAAAACTCGCGAAGAACCCCAAAATGGAATTTAATTTGTAGAAAATCAATTCCAACTAATTTTTTGTACAAAACCAAAATTACATATATATACGAAATACAGTATATATTAACAAAATAGGGTTTTATTTTATTGAAAATAATCCCACCACAACTAGTACGAAACTAGTACAAGGGATGTAATTTCTACGAAATTAATGTCACTACACTTGGTACGAAACCAAAAAATATATATATAAAAAATATATATAAAACGAGAGAAAGGGTTTATAACCTGAGGTTTTAACCCAACACAAGAAATGAGAAGAAGGAGAAATCCGAGTCGTGTGTACTGTGTACACACATTCTCTCCTTAAAACCGATTCGCCACCTCCCGAGGGTGCCAGAAGCGTTGTGGCGTCAATCTACCAAGATAAAACGGATTACGACTTTGGTTTTCAAGCACTCAAACTCAAAGCCGGGCGAACTCGAACACAAGTTGAGCACTCCGTACGAAATATACGGAAGATGTTGGCAAAAATTTTCCTTCGTAGCAAAACAAGAGTTGAGAGTACATGGAGAGGAAAAACAAGAATGAAAGTTTTTTGAGAGTTTCAATCTTGGCGTGCTAAAACTATTCGCCAACATCCTAGTTTTTATAGGGAAGAGATGAGTTAGTAGCCCATTAAATGGCACATTAAACCAACATAAATTCAATTTAAATTAATAATTGGATTATAACGTTTGAAACGGTCATACTTATTATCAAAATAATATCAACGGTCACAAAATTAATATATAATTAATTCGTATCGACGATAATGACTTATTTTAAAATACTTGAGTAACCGAGAAGATCATAGATACAAAAGGTTAAAGATTCAAAACTGACTGAAGCTTCCGAAATAAAAGCTCATGCTTAAATAAGCACCAACTCGTACTAATTATTTAGTATTGGTTCGGTGCATCAAAGCACCATCAACCGAAGTGATGCAAAATGCTGCAATTCCCAAAACAAGTCAAAGCTTCCTTAAACTTAACTTAAGCTCTCTGCTTAATCAGTTGACCAGTCGTAATTAAGCATTTGGCTTAATTAACAACTTTTGAAAGCTTTATTTTTTTTTTACTTCTCTCAAATATATTCACTTTGAGAATTGTCTTATTCAATTATAATTCATTTTGAGCGTACAACATATCAAATTTTTCGTCTCACTACGAAAAGTGCAAATCCACTTTGATTCGACTCAAATTGAAAGTGGACCCTGATAAAGCTTAATGTTAGTGTTGGTTAATTACTATTATTTAGTTTCTTATTTGAATTATTCTCTGTGGTTGTTACTGTAACTACAGGGTTGCCTTTCATCTCTGTATAATTCTTTGTATAAAAGCCTATGCATGGCAACAATAAGATATTGAGTTTCCTTCCCTAAATACTTTACATGGTATCAAGAACCACTCATACTCAAACGAGAACTTAATTTTTTTTTTCCCAACCTTCTTGATATGTCAATCACAGCCCAGACAACTGTTATCCAGCTAAATGCCCCTACGAACTTCCCTATTAAACTAACACCCTCCAATTTTCCTGTATGGAGAAGACAGATTCAATCGTCTCTCATTGGATTAGACCTTGTCGGATACATTGATGGTACCATACAAGCACCTGCACAGTTTACTGATGCAGCGCGAACCTCAACTAATCCTTGTTATACCATTTGGTACATGCAAGATCAAGTTATCGTTAGTGCCATTCTCGGTAGTTGCTCCGACACAATTCAACCATTGATATCCTCTGCTGCAACAGCCTATGAGGCCTGGGAACGCTTAACTACTAGTTATGCTAGTTCATCTCGTTCCCGTATTGTATCCCTTAAAGCAAAATTAGCCAAAAATCCGCTAGGTGGGTGTCCTGTTATTGAGTATATGCAGGAAATGCGTTCAATTGCAGATGCACTTGCGTTAGCACAGAGCCCTATTGGCGAAGAAGATTTGGTGATACATATCATGACACAGCTAGGAGAAGAATATGATTCACTGATGTCCGCTCTTCGTGTACGACTAGAGCCTATTTCCTTTGCTGAACTTTCTGATGTTCTCACCGATCATGAGCGCCAACACAAAGAAAATGTTGAAGCTAGACAGACGTTGCTTGCTACTGCTAATGTCACTCAAAAACAAAACCGGAGAACTCAACCCAGTAGGTCCAACTTCAATTCAAACAAAGTTGCCGGCAACCAACAAAATGATATGAGTTCTGCTCCATTTCGCCAGTCATGGCAGCATCAGAATTCTTATCGACCTGGACGGAGAAATGTTGTTTGTCGCTTTTGCACCTTGGTCGGGCATGAAACACGAGAGTGCCGAAAGTTGATGCGTTTTTTAAGGGATAATAATGTTTCAACTGATACTCGATCCGTTCACAATCCAGTGGTAAACACTACTATGACGTCGACGATGACACAACAACCATGGTTGTTTGATTCTGGAGCATCCCACCATGCAACTTCCAACCCTGCAACGTTGAGACAGTTTACAGAATATGGTGGCCCAGATGAAATTCATCTAGGAGATGTAAAAGTCTTGAAATAACACACACTGGACACACTATGCTACCCACATCACACCGCTCTCTCACTCTTTCAATGTTCTTTGCGTTCCTAAATTACAGAAGAATTTAATTTCCATATCCAAGCTATGCAAAACTAATAATGTCTCTGTTGAATTTTTTCCTTCTTATTTTCTTGTGAAGGATCAGTTAACGGGGGCGCCTCTAATGCGGGGGAAGAACGTACATGACGTGTATTGTGCTCCATTGAGTTGTCCTCCGCAAGTTAACACTGCAGTTAAAACAACAGTTGCTAATTGGCACCACATCTTAGGTCATCCGTCAAATAAGGTTCTTGCCAATGTCTTGAAAAATAATAATGTTACTTTGGATTCAGTCAGTAGCTTTCATTGTCCCTCATGTTCGCTTCATAAAAGTCATAAGTTGCCATTTTCTGAAAATTCCTTGGTCGGCACTAAACCTTTGGAATTGGTCTATACTGATGTTTGGAGTTCTACACAAAGATCTGTTGAGGGGTACTTTTACTATGTTATCTTTGTGGATTATTATAGCAAGTATATATGGCTATATCCACTAAAAAATAAATCTGATGTATACATTGTCCTTTCCCAGTTCAAGAAATTAGTCGAAAAACGTTTAGATCACAAAACTATCTCTATGTTCTCAGATAATGGGGGAGAGTTTCAAAAACTAATTCCATTATTCAATGCATGTTGAATATCCCATCTCACCAATCCCCTCATACACCTGAACATAATGGGACTGCAGAACGACGACACAGACATATAGTAGAAGTTGGTTTGTCGTTACTTCACTTTGCATTGATGTCAATAAGTTATTGGTCGTATGCATTCCAAACAGCAGTCTACTTGATAAATCGTTTGCCCACCCCTGTCTTACATAATAAAACACCCTTCCAAGTTCTGTTCAACACCACACCAAATTATGAAAAACTAAAACCATTTGGGTGTTCGTGTTATCCGTGGTTACGTCCCTACACAAAAACAAAGGTTCACCCTCACTCAAAATCTTGTGTGTTTTTGGAGTATTCTACTTCTCAATCAGCATACAAGTGTCTTGATCCTAGTACTGCTCGGGTTTATCTCTCCCGTCATGTTCAGTTTATAGATGATGTGTTTCCTTTTTATGCATTAACATCGTCATGTCACAGTTCTTCCCCTGCAGGTCCTTCTGAGAGCTCCAATTGTGTATTAAATCCACATGTGCTTGCAAATACCACTCCATTTAATACCCCGATTCCTGTAGCGCCTATGCCACTATTACAGCCCAACACACCTACACCCTCTCAAACTAGTAGTCCCATTCATCCTCCCAACCAAAGTCCTCAACATTCACCTATGCTACCTACCATGCTAGATGCTATCTCTGGTGAGTCTGAGTCATCTACAGATTTACAAATACCTCAGGCTAACAACCCACCTCCACGTCGCTCAAACCGTATCCGTCGTCCCAATCCCAAATACGTCAATGACAAATTTGTGAATGTTACCACTGCCCATCCAATATCAACCACTCTTGAGCCATCGTCTGTTGCTCAAGCAAAATCAGACCCACTCTGGCGTCAAGCCATGAATGATGAATATCATGCACTTACAAAAAATGACACCTGGGAGCTGGTTCCAAGAACTGATAAAAAAATGATTGGTTGTAAATGGGTGTTCTGAGTTAAACGTAAACCTGATGGCTCGGTTGACCGTTATAAGGCGCGCCTGGTGGCAAAGGGTTATTTACTGGAACATGGACGAGATTATTTCGATACGTTTAGTCTTGTGACAAAACCAGCAACCATTCGCATTATCCTTTCATTAGCCTTGTGCCATAATTGGCCTTTGAGACAATTGGATGTGAATAATGCATTTTTACATGAGACTATGCATGAACAAGTCTACACGGTCCAGCCTCCTGGGTATTCTGATCCGCAGTGACCCACGCATGTATGTTGTTTGGAGAAGGCTTTATACAGACTCAAACAAGCACCCCGGGCATGGTACCTGGAGTTGTCTGGTTTTTTGATAGAATTTGGTTTTAGAAAGTCTCAAGTAGATTACTCTTTATTTATTTATCAGACTAACAGTGTACTGGCTTATTTTATGGTTTATGTGGATGACGTGGTTTTAACAGGAAACAACACAAGATTTTTGGATTATTTTGTTGCACGATTGGGGCACAGGTTCTCTATTAAAGATTTGGAAATGCTCCATCTTTTTCTTGGTGTTGAAGTAGTCTCTACTTCATCTGGTATATTTTTATCCCAAGCCCAGTATATTGCAGACATTCTACGACAAACAAAAATGGGTGATGCAAAACCAATTCACACGCCCGTAGGTCCAAAAGCAGACCTCCATGAAGATGCTAATTCATCACCAAGTGATTCTATGGTCTATCGGCGTGTGGTCGGTTTGTTACAGTATTTAGCAATAACACGGCCGGGCTTGAGTTTTACAGTAAATCGCTTGGCACAGTTTATGCATTCTCCAACGGAGCATCAATGGCAGGCCGTGAAGCGTGTCTTACGGTATCTCAAGGGCACTATGTTTCACGGACTATTTTTGTGGAGAGGGACTCCCATCTTTTTATCACCCATTTCTCGAAAACCTTTTTTGGGTGGGGCGGTGTTCATGACGGCGGGAAGTCTACAACTGGCTATGTCATTTACTTGGGCTGCAATATTATCTCATGGAGGTCGGTGCGTCAAAAATCCGTTGCTCGGTCCTCCACCGAAGCTGAATACAGGGCATTGGCGAATACCGCAGCTGAGGTAATTTGGATTCAAAATTTGTTGGTGGATTTGGGAGTGAAGCTGGTGTGACCTCCTGTGTCATTTTGTGATAACATGGGTGCGACATATGTTTGTAAAAACCCGGTCTATCATTCTCGTATGAAACATTTGGCATTGGATTATTTTTTTGTTCGTGATTATGTTGCCGACGGAACTTTGCATGTTCGACATATTTGAACGAAGGATCAAATTGCCGATGTGTTAACAAAGCCTCTGGGCAGAACTTTATTTCAATCCTTTCGGTCCAAGCTTGGAGTCTCCAATGGGTCCTCCATCTCGCGGGGGCGTGATAAAGCTTAATGTTAGTATTGGTTAGTTACTATTATTTAGTTTCTTATTTGAATTATTCTCTGTGGTTGTTACTGTAACTACAGGGTTGCCTTTCATCTCTGTATAATTCTTTGTATAAAAGCATATACATGGCAACAATAAGATATTGAGTTTCATTCCCTAAATACTTTACAGACCCCACATATAGTTTGTACCACAAAATAACCACTAAAAAATTACCATTTTATACTAAAAATTCCAAACATCATAGTCAACTAGTACATATGCCAGCATTCTCATTGCACATTGGGTGCAGATATATACAGGATGTCGCTCTGGGCCGAGCATCTTGCAACTCGATCTGAAAGCTAGCTAATTGTTTTAGGAAATACTGATTTGTTGATTTTGATTCAAAGATTATTGAACTGTACGGTTCTACTTTAATGTGCTTGAAAAGGAAGACAATTCAATTTAAATCGATGTTTACTTGAATTTTATCACGAATATATTAAATTTCCTCCTAAGTTCAATTCTTGGTTGGAAAACATGTTCATTCTGTGTCACATGGCAGGTAGCAAAGCGAGAAATAACTAATTATAACGTATCATGTCAAATGAGATTTTTACATTCAAAATGTTACTTTTCCTATGAAATTTTTAGCTCAATAAATTTATTATTTTCTAATTTGGTAATAAAGCTCTTTATATTTACTTGGATGGATTTGAAGAGGATTATATTTTACACCAGTTTAATACCAAATTAGCATTTTTACATGCATGCTAATAATATAATTATATTGGTTGCAAATTGTTTACAAGTTCGAGAGTTGGTTTAATAGAAATTTTTTAATTTAATAATTTAATTACTGCATTTTATCATAATTACTACGTTTTACGGGCTTAATTAGCTCACTGGTTCAATATAGAGTATTTGGAAGAAAAGATCAGCTTCGAACTTCGGCAGCGACAATGTGAGATTATGTCCAAAGTAAATAGATTCATTGTGCGCATATACATTTGGTCCTGTTTGTTGAGTCATTGAATCATCGTGAATTACATTTTCCTAAATACCTTGTCAGGCCGAGATTGAGGATTTAACCTTTTAGAGAAAGAATGTCTACTACATCCTCTTATTGCATAATAAATAGAGATGATATCTACTTGAGTTTTGACTTCAAAAAAAAAAAAAAAAAGACCTTTCCAAAGAAACTTCCATGACCGGCCCTTCGTCAACTCCGCAGACGTTTGTAGATCATAATACATTAATATGCCTAAGTTTTTTCAAAATTATTAATGTCGTCCAATTTAATGAATTGAAATTAAAGATCAAGCATTTCATGTTACTTAAATAGCATGCATCTTAGATTAGAATTGATGCACCTTAACAAATTGGTGGCAGATCACAAACTTGTAATTCTTTTTTTGAAAGTTACTGGCTCTATTACATTGTAGTATCTGTTTATATACTTTCTCAACCTACTAAAACACAAAGAACCAATAACGCCTCGACTGAGGCTCGAACTCATAATCTTCCAAATGGAAGTCCAACCCGGGTACTACTAGACCACATAGTCTTGGTCACAAACTTGTAATTCAAATTGTCCATCATTCACATGTATTGTCATTTATTAGTTGGCGCAAAAATATTGTTATAAATAGTCCACATAATTCTACATAGCCAAGTTAAGGATAGCTCTAGTTATGTCTATAGGGATCCTTCAGGCTTCCTCCCTTCAAAATCTCCTATACCAAAACCACCGAGTCACATTCCAAATCTACATATAACATCTATATATATATATATATATATATATATATATATATATATATATATATACACACACACATACTTAACACAATGACAAACCATGAGGATATTGCCCATATTTCTGACACAAAACTCAAATACCATACTTGTTTGAATTTGAAATTCGCATATCCAATAATTTTAAGAACATTTTTAATAGAGTTTTTGTTCAGTTTTTGAGAAAGAAAAAATCATAATGTGGTTTTTACACTAATGGAAAGACTGATTTTTAGAGTTTTTACTGTAAATTAGAATTTTGTGTGAGGCCCAAGTGAAAAGAGAAGAAGAAAAAGGAAAGGAAGATTAGATATGCACGTGTGGCGCAATATTTTTTTTAAATTTTTGTCAAATTTCTATTTTTTTTTTCTTTTTCTTCGTTCTCCCACAAAAAATATCACTACGATTAAGGATGCCCTAAATATAACATTGTAGCTTTTAGGTTACTAGTTAACATTATCTTTAACGTATAACTATCAGCTGGTTTAGTCTAAGTTCATGCTTGAACTTGAGTTTGGCAACTACAACATAAGCAAGCCTCTTTAGCCTTATACAAAATAATTGTTACATAATTAGTAAAATCCTAACTCAATGAACATTAAACCACTCAAATACTAACAGGGCAATGTGAATATAGGTTTATTTTCTTAAAATGAATTATTTTTGGTCCCCAGATGGTCAAATCTGCCGGCCAAAATAGGCACGATAAAAATGACCCGTTGTCGCAAGGAACTTTCCAAGACCAGGTATTCCTTAACTCGGCTGTCATTTGGGAACGATGTGGCTATTCCTTCAGTTGAAGTTGGTTGGGCAAAGAAAAGATTTTTTTTTTTTTTGTATATATTATAATTTCTTCTACCATCAACTAATTTTTTAATTCCAAAATTTGTCAAAGCTTTACCCAGTCAAGTCTTCTCTTCGTTACATTCAGATGGGAACCAAGAATCCATTGTCTTCTCTCTTTTCTTCTTGCTATAAACCCCCAGAACTCATCTTTGCTCCTGATTAGCATCTGGGTTTCTTTGAGTATCTGTTTATCAAGCTTGCATTTCTGCAGAGAGGCCATTTTCTGTGACTCTGCCCATTATTTAAGGTAAAAATCCCATATTTACTATTGGTCAAACTGGTGTTTCTGTTACCTCAAACTTTGTAAGTTGGTAGTTGAGTTGTATTTGATTGCAGAGAAAAAAGAAAACCCTTTTTTCTGATGATGCAAAAAGAGTCATTTAAGTTATTTACATGGAATTTGAAATGATCTTTGAGGATTTTATAGATTATGCTATATAACTGTTTGATATATTCTGCTTTTTTGCTGCAATAAATCTTTTGACTTTCTTGTCTGAAATGAATTTGAAGGTGAATTGGGAGGAGGTTTCTGTTGTAGTCTCATGGCTCATTTAAGTTATTCTGAGTCAATGTCTGAGGGTTCAGAGCATGGACAAGGTGTCCAAGTTGTGCCATTTAAGACCTCTACTGGGTCTTTAAGGGTATTGCTATTACATGGAAATTTGGATATTTGGGTGAAGGAGGCCAAGAATTTGCCCAACATGGATATGTTTCATAACAAGTTAGATGCCTTGTTTGGGAAATTGCCTTCAAAGCTTAGCAGTAAAGTTGATGAGAAGATCACTAGTGACCCTTATGTCACAGTTTCGGTATCTAATGCTGTGATTGCTAGAACATATGTGATCGGCAACAGTGAGGATCCGGTTTGGATGCAGCATTTTTATGTCCCGGTAGCACATTATGCATCGGAAGTTCATTTTGTTGTGAAAGACAACGATGTTGTTGGTTCTCAGATTATGGGCGCTGTGGGGATCCCCGTGGAACAATTATATTCTGGTGTCAAGGTCGAGGGCTCATTCCCAATTCTTAACTCGAATGGGAAACCGTGTAAGGCTGGGGCTGTACTCACTTTATCAATTCAATTCACTCCAATGGAGAAGGTTCCCCTTTACTATGGCGGTGTAGGATTTGATCCTGAGTATCGTGGAGTTCCCGGTACTTATTTCCCCCTTAGACGAGGAGGCAGGGTAACGCTGTATCAAGATGCTCATGTACCTGATGGTTGCCTCCCGAATATATGGCTTGAAAATGGCGTGCAGTATCATCACGGGCAGTGCTGGCATGATATATTCAGCGCAATAAGTCAGGCTCGTAAGTTAATCTACATTACCGGATGGTCTGTCTACCATTTAGTTAAACTTGTTCGAGATGGTAACGATGCAAAAGAAAGCACTTTGGGGGACCTTCTCAAAACGAAGTCTCAAGAAGGCGTGAGGGTGCTGCTACTTGTATGGGATGATCCCACTTCTAATAGCATTCTTGGGTATAAAACTGTAAGTTGTGTTTGTTCAGCACCGAGAATAGAAATTTGTAGTTTTTCTTTCTGTGAAAACAATAGAACAAATTCTTTCGAGTATAGGAAAGTTTGGCTAAGTAAGATTTTACTCTATTCCATAACCGTTAGCAAAAAATCATGAGACTCGTGCATAGTTTTGCTCGAGTTTGAAACTATTACCAATATTTCTCATTCTTGTGATATATAGGATGGAATCATGCAAACGAATGATGAGGAGACTCGTCGCTTTTTCAAGCATTCTTCGGTGCAAGTGCTGCTTTGTCCACGCTCTGCTGGAAAGGGACACAGCTGGATCAAAAAGAAGGTGCGATCTTTGTTCCATTCTCTTCGTACATCCTTACCTATAGGGCTTTAGGTCCAGTTTCTATAATCTCTTTGAGAAAGCATTGTTTGACGTTTGAGGAAGCTGCAGACTTGCTTTAAGAGTTCCAGATTTTAACTTGTTTTTGTCATCAGGAAACTGGAACAATCTACACACACCATCAGAAAACTGTTATAGTTGATGCAGATGCGGGTAACTACAGGAGAAAGATCATAGCTTTTGTTGGAGGCCTTGATTTATGCAGGGGGCGATACGATACTCCAAATCACCCTATTTTCAGAACATTACAAACTGTGCACAAAGATGACTATCATAACCCAAATTTCACGGTAATCCTTGAACGAATTCGATCTTTGTGTTGCTTGACTATCATACTTATGATGCCTATTTATGACCATCAAAATCTAAAACTCTTTCATGTTTTCAAAAACAAAAGATCTGTTAGTGATTGTGTTCTTCTGTCACGTTTATAACTTGAATAGGGACCTACTACCGGTTGCCCAAGAGAACCTTGGCATGATTTGCACAGTCGGATTGAGGGCCCTGCTGCATATGATGTCCTAACAAACTTCGAGGAGCGTTGGTTAAAGGCTTCGAAACGCCATGGATTACAAAAGATGAAAGCTTCACATGATGATGCTTTACTCAAACTTGACAGAATTCCTGAGATTTTAGGAATAGCAGATGCCCCATTCCTAGAGGAAGATGATCCCGAAAGTTGGCATGTCCAGGTATCTACGAAATGAAATTTACCTATGCTTCTTTCTCGTATATTTTCTGCCACTAACTAAAATTTTTTCTGATATCTAGGTTTTCCGGTCCATTGACTCTAATTCTGTTAAAGGTTTTCCTAAAGATCCAAAAGAAGCCACAGCCAAGGTAAGCAATCTTTTATATATCTATGTCGTCTCGAATGATCTGTCCTAATACTTTTATGCTAATGACAAGAACTAATCAATACATTCTGACATCCGGTGGTACAGAACCTAGTCTGTGGGAAGAATGTTCTGATCGACATGAGTATACACACTGCGTATGTAAAGGCAATTCGTTCTGCTCAACATTTCATTTACATTGAGAACCAGTACTTCCTCGGGTCATCATTCAACTGGAACAACTACAAAGACTTAGGTGAGAGCATCTTTTTAATATCTGCAGAATAAAATTGGAAAATTAGATTAATTGCCAATTTTATCAACTGTCCTTTTAAAGTGCTCCGTAATTGAATTTCACTGCCACAGTTATATAGTTGATTTGAATTATCTTCATCCATCTTTCCATGCTAAAGGCCTTGTAGTTTATCGGTATAAGATTGTGACTCTACGTAGTAGGATTGCGGTTAAACATCCATTCTCCCCAACTTTCCCTTTTCTCTCAGTCTATGCAAGCAAGTCTCGTCTCTTTCCATTTTCCAACAATTATTTACATGATTTCATTTTGCGTTGACAGGTGCAAACAATTTAATACCGATGGAAATTGCTCTCAAAATCGCTAACAAAATCAGATGCAATGAAAGATTTGCAGCATATATTGTTGTCCCAATGTGGCCCGAGGGTGTTCCTACCAGCACACCAACTCAGAGGATTCTCTTTTGGCAGGTAGGCTTTTACTTCAAGTACCAGGTTGATGTAATTTATGCTGTATCCTTAGAAATGTTATTTTGTCGCATGCAGTATAACACGATGCAGATGATGTACGACATAATATACAAAGCTTTAGTAGAGGTCGGGCTGGATAAGACATATGAACCCCAAGACTACTTGAACTTCTTTTGTCTTGGCACTAGAGAGGCGCCCGATAATGCAACCAATTCAAGTGGCAAGAGTTCTTCAGCAAACACTCCTCAGGTATGCCTAGTCCCATGATTATGCTTGTGTTTCTTTCGTTTCCAACTAGCCAATTGTGTCGTTTCTTGTTTGGTTATGCTCTATATGATACTTTTTCAGGCACTATCCCAGAAAAGCAGGCGATTCATGATATATGTCCACTCGAAAGGGATGATTGTGGACGACGAGTTTGTGATAATGGGGTCTGCCAATATCAACCAACGTTCGTTGGAAGGCACCAGAGACACTGAAATTGCAATGGGTGCATATCAGCCTAACTATACATGGGCAAACAAACACACCGGACCACATGGCCAGGTAATTAACCACACAACTAGGGATGACAACGGGTAGGATATCTACTTGTAGGGTATCCCATCCCATTCCAAAACCTGTTTATTATATTTAAAATATGAGTTAATATCAGCCGGGGTCCTCTGAGTATAGTGACACTGCCACGTTTAGTCATAAACATTCAATTTAATCATCCATGGTCCTTCAACTTTCAAATTTAACTTGCCGTGGTCCTTCCGTTAATTTAACTAAGGGTAAAGTTAGGACTAGGGTTGGTTAAAAATTTGAAAGTTAAAAGGCTATGGGTGGTTAACTTGAAAGTTGAAGGAATACGGGCGGTTAAATTAAAAGTTTAGAACTAAATGTGGCAGTGCCACTACACTCGGAGGACCTCAGCTGGTATTAACCCCTTGAATACTCTACTACTGAATACAAGGTTTTCACTACTACTCTAAACCCTTGAGGGATATAATTTTGCCTACCCAAATCCCTCCTAAGCCCAAATTATTAACTACTCGAACCCGTCCTATTAGGGTTTAGGAGGGTCGGGTGCCTATTATTAGCCAAACAACTGCACATGTGCAACATTGTGTGTAATAGTCCACAAGTATATATGACAGCACTTTTGTGGCCCATTGGTTGCAGATATATGGATATAGGATGGCGCTTTGGGCCGAGCACCTTGCAACACCCGATGCCTGTTTTGAGCAACCGGAGAGTGTGGAATGCGTGAGACGGGTGAGGGGTCTTAGCGAGCGCAACTGGCAACAATATGCAGCTGAGGAAGTGAGCGAGATGAAAGGCCACCTCCTGAAGTACCCTATTGAAGTTGACAGAACAGGAAAGGTGAACTCTTTGCCTGGGTGTGTAAACTTCCCCGACATGGGAGGGAAGATCATAGGGACATTCGTTGGCGTCCAAGAAAATCTCACCATTTGATCAATTGCATTGTCTGTTCTCCACATTTGTTGTTGTTGTTACCTGCATTACTACCCACATCCGTCTTTTCCTTCAATTTTTTTTTTTTTCTTTTTTGTTAAGTGTAAACATTAGGTGAGGTGGCTTGATTCTAATATAATAGATAGGCATAAACTCGAATACATTTCTAAAGAGTTGATTATGATTTCCATTATTTAGGTTTCATTTTAAAAATATTGTAGATCCCAGTTCAATGTCTACTTATGCGGGATCATTGTTTATTTTGAATAGTGTTTTTGTTTTTTGCTTTTTTACTTTTTAAAAAGATTTAGAATGTTTTCCTGTTTTTAAAGGAATTTTTTGTATTATTGAAGTGAGCTATTTATGTTGGCTAAAGTGTCATCTCGCACTGATAGTACTAATACACATGGACTAGTAGCTAAATCGATCGCCCTAGTTCAGCGTTCGACTGGTTGGCGGTCGAAAGCCTCTTGAGTAGATGCTGGTTCTAGAATTGGTCAAAAAGTCTCCTTACTGTAATAAATGCGAGTATTTATAGACGAAGAGGTGGGGAACACAGTCCGGGTTACCGGCATGGCGACCACGTGGTGTGTACGTGTCTGTATGCGCACCAAACCCCCCGCAACACCTAGTGACGACACGTAGGGTTACACGGGGTTGAGGTCCCGTGCGGCTGGGCAAAGTTCGGGTAGAATAGTGGTCGGGGAGGATGTCGGTCGGGAAACAAAGATGACGCTCGAACCGTTCGGCTTCGCTCGGGATAAAGTAAGAGTAGGTCAGCGGTCAAAGTCCGATCGGGTGTATAACCTATCAAGAGCAGCCCCCCCCCCCCCCCCTCCCCCAGCTCGGGTCCATTTCGAGGGGCCACAGAGAAAAGGCTCGAGCTGGAGTTCATAGACACCCGGGATGTTCTGACCACTCGGTAAGCCTAGAGGCTTCTGTGGGCACGTGTCACGCCCTGGTGGCCTTGGGATTCGAACCGGACTTCTCGAAAAGGAGAGATATTTTTCCCGCCTAAAATCCTCTATAAATAGGGCCTTTGTGAAGGCCTTGGCCACGCTTCCTCTGCTGTAAAAATCGGTCGAACACTCCCGAGCAATATTTACGCAAGCCTTTTCAACTACTCCTCAAGTTTCCAAGTATAAGCGATCGGTAAGCCTTTTCTTTCTCTTATATTTTACACTCGCACAAATTTATTTAATTCGTTCGCTCTAGCTTTTAGCATGCGGGTTTTTAACTCGAGCCCTCCCTCTGAAACGTCCTCCTATCCTCTGTGAAAGGGAACGATGTCGATCTCAGATAGCCAAAACGTCTCCAAGGCGGACTACGATGATAGGGTCGAGACCGACATCGACCAGACGATGGTCGAAGAATTTTCTGAGGCGACGGTCGAGACTCAACAACCAGCTCCTAGGAACGACGAAGCTGAAACCTCAGGGCGTGAAGAAGGATCCCCGGAAGAAAACAATCGGGAAACTCCAACCCGCACCCTTGGTTTAGCCCAATCCCCACCTGTCCCCTCGGTCCGTAGGTGCCCTAACCGGAAGAGGCACCGAAGGGTCTCAGAGCAACCCAGAAGAGGGTCCTAAGATGATCTTCTTAAATAGTGAGACGGTGGATCGGCAAAAGTTCCTGCTGACCACAAAGGAGGTGGCCAAGATATTCGCCCTCCTGAGCGGCCGAGTGAATTTTGATACTCGAAGGTCGCTCGGAGGGATAAAGCGCCGATAACATTCCCGTTTTCACCTTTCCTAACAGCCTTTCTAGGTTATTACCGCGTCCTTTCGTGCTAAATCTACCCCAACACCCATCGCATCATCTCATGTTTTCTTCAAATTTGCGCTCGGCACAATGCCCCGTGCACCATGGAGCTGTTCAATTACATTTACGTCGTCGAGCCACTCGCGGCAACTTACGATGGTGGGTTTCTAATGGCCCAATCACGGGACTATCTCTGTTCGATTCTCAACCTTCTAGGCAATAATAAGGGGTGGAAGAACATAATCTTCTCAGTCGAGTATCCTTGGATACTACCGGTCGATCAGACCTGGTCGACGCATTTCAAGGAAAACGTTCAGCCACTGGCAACTCGTGCCCTTAAAGAAGCTACATCGCGGATTTCGAACGAGTACCATGAGTACATGTTCTTCCACTCGAAACAAGCGTATACCGAGGCTTGACTTCCTCCGCCGCGCTACGTCCTGAAGGATAAGTACACGCCACAACCAGTCGTGATTACGATCGTTGTGGCTCCACCCCCACCTGGCCTGAGTGATCCGAGTGGAGAAGGTTCTCATCCACCTTTAAAGATTTCGCCATTCTAATTTTGCCATGACTAACATTTCTTTGCCGGTTTTTTTGTAGATATGGTGCTGATCCGTGGTTTTTCGACCGCTCCCTCTAGGGCCGCTCGGGCCCCTCGATCCAAAGCCTCGCTAGGCGTGAAGGCCCCAGCGCATCGACCGCCTCTGAGCTCACTCCTCCTGACCCGACCGTTCCCGCCGGTCTTCCTCTTGCGGCCTCTTCAACGTGGGCGACACTCCCCCTATCAGTCAAACAACCGATCTGCAAACCATTCGGGCGCCGAGCAAAAGGGGCAAAGAAAAGGCCATCAGCGGGGACACAGAAGAGGTCGTGCCCCTAAAACGGCAAAAACGTCCCGGCCCTCCGACCGCGACGCCTCTTATCACCGCCTTAACATTAAGGGAACCGCCCTCCTCGCTAGTTGCAAAGATCAACTCCATTCTCCCAGACAAGGATGATACGGTAGGTTGGACCCCCGATCAAATGGCAGAGCGGGGCGCTCAGGACCTGATTCAGGTATGTCCTGTTTTAACTTAATGTTTTTAATTCAACTTAACGCACTCATGTGACCTCCTTGTTTTGTTTTACAACTGACCCGCGTATTCACCGGGCCCCACTTCCGAGCCAAAGTGGCTAATGAGACGAAAGCGCTGAAGCAAACGATCGCTCGTCACGAGCAAGAGAATGAGAAGCTGAGGAAAGATCTTCGGGCCGCCAATAAGGGTCGATCGGCTGCTGAAAAGGAAGCTCGGGTTGCCAGCAATGAGGCCGAGGAGATGAAGACTCGGCTTGGGAATATGGATGGCTTAGCCACGTTCCTCTACCGTGACCAAGCGTCGGCCGAGCGCTTTTCCCGATCCTTTTTGAAAAAGAAACTCGGAGAAGATTTGGTTTGGGCTTTAGGCAACTAGGCCTATGCCTCTGGCCAACGTGATATGCGGAGGGAAACGGAGACCATCATGGAGGAGGTTTTCGAAGGCGACGATTAGCAAATCGTCTTGGCCAACATCCCCGACGAAGTTCCCGACCTAGGGCCAGCACCGTATTCCGAGCCATCACCTTCTGACCCAACCACCTTATCTGAGAAGGAGAAGCCCAAACAGAAAAAACCCGAGCAACAGGGTGAAGAAGGGACGGGTACCTAAGGCGCGACCTGGTAGTTTTTCTTTTTTGGGGGGCATTTGTAAATGTTTTTGTCTGGCCAAACACTTATTCTCCTTGAGGGAGCTCGGCCCCTTTGTGCCGAGCGCTTATTCTAATTAATCTAATGAGGAAGCCCAGATTCAGTTATCTAGTTTGCTTCCTTACTTTCACTTTCCTTTTCTACTTTTAAGGCATAACGCTCAGTTCGAGCTTTTGCGCTCGTTTGTCCTTTAACTCCGACCTTAGGGGTGTTCTGAATTAAGCCGAACGATAGTTTTGTTCGTAGGGGTGTTCTAGGATAGGCCGAGGCCTTAGCTAGCGCCTAGGGCCATTGCCAGCCCCCCACTCCCTAAGTTACGGCGGTCGTGCTATTGTTACGGCAGGCGTGATCTCTAGGGAGTGTCCGTAGCCACCCGATTTTACTAGACCGGGACATGGTGTAAGCAGTCGGCTGATCTGATCGAGCCGACTTTGTTAATGACCTAATTTCTAGACCCGTGAGGTAATCTCAAGCCAGCTGATGGTGCAGGGGCCAACTTCACCGGACTACCCCAGTGTCGAGACGTGATCTCAAGTTGGGAAGACCGGTTGACCAATATCTTTATGAAACTCTTGAATCTGCATGGCTCTATTGCTGCAGCGAACGACGGTTTACCCAAAAGCCGGGTGGACCCTTGTTCGACGCGGGATTGGGTTGTTGACCTGCACTCCGGGAGAACCTCGTCCCCCGGGTGGCACAAGACCGTTTGGATCCTCGTCCAGTCGGGTCTTTGAGCCACAAAAGTTATGCGACATTGCGGTCGTCGGGCTCGCACCCTCATCGGTGATGATCAGGACTAAAAGTTTAAGCGACATTGTGGTCGTTCTCGGGCTTGTACCCTCATCGGCAATGACCGACACTTAAAGTTTAAGCGACATTGCGGTCGTGTTGCGGGCTCGAGCCCTCACCGGCTATGACCGGGTTGAACTGCAGCTGTGAACGACGACCGACGAGTGCGCGAAATCTGTGCTACGGGTAAGTAGAAATATTACAATTACAGTCATCCATCAAAATTTACAGATACAAGAAGTCGGTACAAGACTTCCTAGTAACTAAATCCGACTGAGGTCCCGTGCGGCTGGGCAGAGTTCAGGTAAAATAGCGGTCGAGGAGGATGTCGGTCAGGAAACAAAGATGACGCTCGAACCGTTCGGCCTCGCTCGGGATAAAGTAAGAGTAGGTCAGCAGTCAAAGTTCGACCGGGTGTATAACCTATCGCACACCATGAACCATTCTTGATTATTCATGCTACACCATGATCTTTAATAAGTGATATTTAGAGCCATAAAGCATAATTTTTTTTCGTCTAGAACTTATTATAGGTTTCCTACATGTTACTGGTAATAATATTGCTGCCATGGAATTTTTTATTAGTTTTTTTTGGCATTTTTCTTCTTTCGCCTTTGTATTATAATTTTTTAGTATATTTCTTTTTTCCTAAACGTATAGGCATGTCTGAGTTTTTTGCTTCTCGTTTCTCCGATACCAAACTCCGCAGAGCATACCTATATAGCACAGGCTTGATCGGAGAAACGAGAAGCGAAAAACGCAGAGCAGACCTATATGTTTAGGAAAAAAGTAAAAAAATGTAAAAAAAAAAAAAAAAAAAAAATACGAAGGCAAAAGAAGAAAAATACAAAAAAAAAAAAACTAATAAAAAATTCCATGTCAGCAATATTATTACCGGTAACTTGTAGGGAACCTGTAGGAAGTTCTAGACGAAAAAAAAATTATGGTTTATGGCTCTAAATATCACTTATTAAAGATAGTGGTGCGGCATGAATAATCAGGAATGATTCATGGTGCGGGATAACACTTTAGCCATTTATGTTTTTAAGTTTTAACTATATGGAATAGTAGTATGGATTGGATTGTGTATCAAATTTGCATGATTTTGATTGTGTGCAGACTTCAAAATTGGAAGGTAAAGTAACAAAATTTGAGTTCAAACGAGTAAGTGAAGAGACATTAGATAGAAAAATAAGTCAAGAAATCTTTTCATAGTTAAATAACTAGCGAGGCAGAGGTGATCGATATTAAATATTTTAGCGTTAAGTAATTTATTACATTCAACCTTCTTTTGGAAATATAATGTGAATAAGAAACTAAATAGGGGGTGTTTGGTAAATAGTTGTTAGCTGCTTGGGTTAGTGGTGAGTTGTCGTAGGCTTCCAAATTAAAATCTTACAAACGTAGTAGCGGGAGTAAGGATCGATCCCACGAGGAGTAACTAGTTTAACTTTTGTGCTCAAGGAAATAATGGGGGGTTTGGAATATATCGAGAATAAATATTAAATAAAAGAGAAATTAAATAAACGAGAAATTTAATCGAACGAATAAACAGTGAAAATAATATATCGAAAACACTTATAATAAGAAACCTTGGTTAGTAAAGATCCACCACCGGAATTCAACACTGATCATTGATTAATAAAGTAATTAATATGCAATTGAATATTTGTCGTGAAATTATCTCGTTTCTGTTTTCCCTTAGTTGTAGGTAAATAAAGCACAAGCGGTTTAATTACCCCTAACTACTAAATAATCTAAGACAAACGCTATAGATTTAATTTAATAGCAGCAATAGGAACTAGGAAAACCGACAAACTAAATAACACAAGCACAAGCGGTTGCATTTAATTTAGGAAAATATTCTACCCGAGACCAATTATCACTAAGTCGTCAATAATTAACCTCAGTTGCTACTGAATATTAGAATAATTTGTAGCACAACATTATCTAATATAGCAAATAATTATATCAAATAAATAACTAGTAGGCCTCCCTAGCAATTAAATGATACAACTATTCAAATAATTTTAGGCAGAATATTTAATACTCAAATGCATAGAAACATATATAATAAAAATAAATAAATAATCTTACAGCATAATCAATTCCGGGGCATCAATTCACTAAGCCAAGCTAGAAGAAATTAGCCACGAATGGACATTGGTAACAACTTTAAAGAATAATCGAGAGGGGAAGAATGAACATTTTACAATAAAACACTTATACTATCTATACACTTTCTAAATTAAACCTAATGAACCTCTACCACTTATTCTCCTATTTTTGTGGCATGTGTGATTTCTTCTGTTAGTTGTGCTGCTTACCTATTCAAAAGGAAAGAAAGAGATAAAATGTTAGGATTAATAAATTCAATTGCGATGGATTGGACCACAACATAACTTACATTTATAATATATATATATATATATATATATATATATATATATATATATATATATATATATATTATATATTATATATTATATATATTTAGTATACTAAATATATATAATATATAATATATAATATAATATATAAATAAATATATATATATATATATATATATATATATATATATATATATATTATATTATATATTATATATTATATATATTTAGTATACTAAATATATATAATATATAATATATAATATAATATAATATAATATATATATATATATATATATATATATATATATATATATATATATATATATATATATTTAGTACAATATTTAGTTCATTAATTGTTAAATTCTAAAAAGAACAAATTATTAAATAATATTAAATAATTAATGCAAAATTATTATAAAGATGTACCTAAAATATGAGTGTAAAATATGCCCGTCAGTTAGTAGGTTTTACTTGTTAATAACATTAGCTTATTGTAGAAAAGTGTTTGGTAAATGCAAAATGACATTCTCAAAAAATTGATCGAAAAAAACTGCTTGAACAACTTTTTGAATTTTAGCATTTTGAAGCAATCAGGCCCGGATTTTGGGCTGTGCAAGCTGGGCTACCGCACAGGGCCCCAAATTTTAGAGGGGCCCCAAATTTTAGAAGTTCAATATTTTATTTTTATCTAGTTAGTTTAGAAATAAAAATTAAAAATTTTTAATTAAATTTAAAAGGCTTTATAAAGAAATGGTAGGAACATGTATTTATTATATTTTAACTTTGAGGTCTAAGGTTCAAAACTTGTGCACATTATTATTATTCCATAATATGTCTATTTTTACTTGTGCGTTGAACGGAAACGATTTGTTATAATCTTTAAATTATAAAACAAATATTATATAGTGCAATTGATTATGTTTTTTTGTTTTATCCTTGTTTGAATTCGAGCAAATAATTGCCCAATTATCTGTGCAGTGTGCGTGCGATGCACAGATAAATTTTTTTTGTTATATATTTAGATAATAAAATTACGGTATTAGTTTTATAGATTTTAATTTTGGTAGGGTCTTATTTATTTACCCGAACAGGGCCACAAAAATCTAAAAACCCGCCCTGGAAGCAATAAGTTATTACAAAAGCTAATTAATCAAACACTCATGTTGATTATTTAATCAAGTCAAACAGCTAATAGTGATCAAATAAGCCAAAATTTAGTGATAAGCTAACTATGTTATCAAACATAACCATAATATACTTATTGAAGAGCTACAAATCTCCAATTATCCTGTGACAAGAAATCGAGCCAAGAAGATTGCGAATACGGTCATGGCCCTTGGAGCCCTTACTATATACATTTGAGTTAGATTATGACTCTCTATCCTAGTCTCCCTGTGATTTTCTCATTATATATATTCCTATATCCAGTATTTTTGTAATCAAGTTAATTCAATACAATTCATTCAGTTCTCATCTGGTATCAGTTAGGTAGGGTTCACGAATTAATATTACTATCTATAGAATTTTTATTTTTATTTTTAAAAAAACTATGAATTCGTGACATTATGGAGCACCAGATCAGTGGACTAACGCATTCAATCTTGCATATCCGTACTATGTATATTATTGTTATGCTAACCTCTACACCCTTAATAAGCTTCGTCAATAGAAGGGCATGACAGTTATCAAATTCCGCCCACATTCTGGAGAGGCAGAGAATTACAAGCGGAAGCAGTGGAAGCATCGGAAGACATCCACTTCGCAGCAGCCGATCGCATCAAACCAGGGTACACCATATGAGAAGCGTAAGTGGGTCTAGTAAGTCTCTTAGTGATACTCTGTTATGTTCTGGATGCCAGTTGGGAAAATCTGTGCGTTTTCCCTTGCAACGTGTTGAGTCCCCTAGTTCTGGCATTCTTGATTTAGTTTACACTATTATTTGGGGTCCTGCTCCAATTCTTTCATCTAGTGGACATCGTTACTTTGTTATATTTATGGATAACCACTTTCGTTTTACCTGGTTTTTTCCAATGCGCTTACAATATGATCTATATGATATTTTTGAGCGTTTCCGTGTCATGGTTGAGCGTTCCTTTTCTCGTAAAATAAAAGCTATACAATCTGATTTGGGTGCTGAGTATAAAAAGTTACATTCTTTGTTTATGCAATTAGGTATTAATCATAGACAATCGTGTGCTTATACTCATGAACAGAATGGTTGTGTTGAAAAAAAACATAGGCATATTGTTGAAACTGAATTAACTCTCTTGGCTCATGCCTCTGTTCCATCTAGGTTTTGGGATTTTGCCTTTTAAACTACTGTCGATTTGATAAACAGAATGCTATCCAGTGTCTTGAAGAATTCCAGTCCTCATCTTATGCTGGATAAATCTTCTCATTCTTATTCTTTTCTTCGTGTCTTTGGTTGTCTATGCTATCCTCACCTAAGACTTTACAATTGTCATAAATGTGCTACAGATCCTCTCCTTGTGTCTTCTTAGGTTATCCTGACTCTTTGTGGGAGTATATGTGCATGGACTTACAGACTAATAAGATATATATTTGCAGGCATGTACGGTTTGATGAGGCAGTTTTTCCCTTTGCTACTAAGACTGTTGTGCACTCTAGTTCCATAGGCTCATCCTTGGGCTGAATCCATTTTGCAGCTCTGTCATGACACGTTAGCTGTACCTATGGACTCTGTACAACAGGTTTCGACTACTCCTGTGGCAGCTACTACATGGGCACGTGGCCGCTCTACAAAGCCAACCACACAGACTCATGACATGACCACTAGGAGTCGGTCTCAAGCTTCGCCTGCGGTCCTAACTGCACAGGTTTGTCCTACTGAGCCCACTTGTTAAACACAAGCAATTAAGTATCCTGAGTGGTGTGAGGCTGTCAGTAATGTTATATTTCACATTTATTTATTATGTAACATTAGAGTTGAATTAGTCCTATAACTAATAGCTATTGACTAGGAGTAGTTAGATAGGATTCTAATCTCTGTTATTATCTTTGTAACTTCTCAGAATTTGAATCTACGTTAATCGGTTTTCACTCATCTGGTATCAGCAAGCTAGGTGAACCTTTGTTTTCTCTCTCCCAAAATTATGTCGACAAACTCGAGTGAGTGAACGGTGACCGCAGGTACTCCGCCACCTTCCACCACCCCAAACACCCTTAATTCGCCTCACCACTTTATCTCAATGAAATTAACCACGAAAAACTTTCTCTTCTGGCGTACCCAACTTGTACCATTCCTCCGTGGACAAGGCCTCCTGGGGTATGTCACCGGCGATACACCTTGTCCACCCGCCACGCTTAAGTCTCCGGCCTCCGGTGAAGCTGCCTCCAGCGCCACAACAACCACCACCACCTCGAACCCGGCTCACGGTCTATGGATACAGCAGGACCAGAGCATACTGTCCCTGCTCGTGTCGTCAATGGCGGACGAGGTACTCTACCTCGCCGTCGGCCGTACAACGTCGCATGAGGTGTGGTCTTCGATCACGGCGGCACTGGGTTCCTCGACTAGGGCGAGATGCCTCAATTTGCTGGCTCAATTCCAATCACTCAGGCAAGGTGACAGCACTCCCGCCGAGTATCTCGGCCGTGCGCAGCTGTTAGTGGAGGATCTAGCGTTGGCCGGCCGTCCGGTCTCGCTTGACGAACAAAACCTCTGGGTTTTCCGAGGTCTCCGGCCAGAATTCCGGTCGATGGCTTCATCCCTCACGGCATCCGGCACACCGGTGTCGATTCCCCAGCTCTCGGACTATCTCCAAGCCCAGGAATTCATTTGGGCGGATGAGTTCTCCACTGCCGGCGCTTCATCCGGCCACACGGCCTTGGTGGCTCGACGTGGTTACGCGCAGAACCAGGCCGCAGGTGGCGGTCCTAGGAATGCTGGTTCCGGGCAGCAATGGCGAGGACGGGGCAGAGGCCGTGGCGGACAAGGCAGAGGCCGAGGCGGTGGTGGTCGAGATGCCAAATCTGCCGCTCACATGGCCACACCGCGCTTCACTGCTATAAACGGTACTCCGGCGCTCCGCAACCGCAGGCCCATGCGGTAGTTCCCGGTGATGAGACGGCAGTCGTGGCAGACGCGTGGTACCCGGACACCGGGGCGTCGTCACATGCTACGCCCGATCCAACGATGATGGCGCAATCAGATCCTTATTCCGGCGGTGACGTGCTCCGCGTGGGCAATGGATCAGGTTTGGGTATAACCAGTGTTAAACTCTGCGTCTAGAACTCTGAAATTAAATAACATTTTGCATGTCCCCCGACTTTCATTACCGTTATTATCAGTTAATCGCTTCACACTTGATAATTTTGTTTATTTTGAATTTCACCATGATCATTTCGTTGTGAAGGACTGTCACACCAAGGCGGTGCTCCTTAGGGGTCCAACCACAGGGGGTTTGTACAAGTTACCCATGTCTCGGTCACATGTTGCGTTAATAACCGCTCGTGCGCCACCTGACGTTTGGCATCGCAGGCTTGGACATCCGCATGAACGTGCCCAGAATCGTGTCTTACAAAACTGCCCGGTCGCTCAATCCAAGTCAAGTATACCGCGTTTGTGTTCGTCGTGTCAACTCGGGAAATCGTCTCGATTCCCGCTAGATAGAGTTTTTTCTAGTAGCAATAATGTACTAGACTTACTGTATACTGATATTTGGGGGCCGGCACCCGTTGTTTCTGCCGGGGGATTTAGATATTTTGTTCTATTTGTAGATGACCACACCCGTTTTTGCTAGTTTTACCCTTTGCGGTTAAAATCAGACATTTATAAAATATTTGAGTCCTTTCGTGTCATGGTAGAACGCCAATTCTCGCGTTCTATCAAGTCGATACAGTCTGATCTCGGCGGTGAGTATCGCCGTCTACACACAATCTTCGAGTCTCTTGGCATTGTGCATAGGCAGTCTTGTGCCTATACACATGAGCAAAACGGCCGAGTAGAGCGCCGGAATAGACACATTGTCGAAACCGGGTTAGCTCTACTCGCGCACAGCTCAGTCCCTATCAAACACTGGGATGCCGCGTTTGAAACAACTTCCTATCTCATAAATTGCTTACCGTCGTCTGCACTCAAAAATTATGTCAGTCCCTACGAGTCTGTTTACAACAAAACTCCACCATACACTTTTCTGCGCGTGTTTGGGTGCAGATGTTACCCCTATCTACGGCCCTACAATCGCCATAAGATAGAGTATCGTTCTGCACCTTGTGTCTTTTTAGGATATCCTACGTCTTATAGGGGGTACCGATGCATGGACCCAGTAACTGGAAAGACCTTTATCTGTCGTCACGTCAGGTTTGATGAGAGTGTGTTTCCTTATGCTACAGGTTCTCGCGAGCAAAGTGGGGACACAAGCACTCAGAATGGCGTGCCTTGGGCATCCAGTCCCATAATCGCACAATCACAAGTTGAGCCGATTAATGAGCTACCGCTGGCAACCCAAGTGCCACCGCTAGCAATACAACATGAGCCAGAGAACGGAGTGGCACCACGCCGCAAAACCAAAAGCCGGGCTCGGGCTGCGCCACAACCCCTTGTGATGCGACTCCGGTGCATGACACGAGGCACAAATGAGCCCTTTCACGCTCTAACTGCCTCTACTGATCCAACTTGTTATACTCAGGCCGTGGCACACCCGCAGTGGAGGGATGCTATGGATCAGGAATTTAATGCGCTTCTGCATAATAATACGTGGTATCTCACACCGGCTAAGCCGGGGATGAATGTAGTGGGCTGTAAGTGGGTCTACCGCACCAAACGGAAGGCCGATGGTACCATAGAGCGTTACAAAGCTCGCTTGGTCGCGAAGGGGTTCAATCAAGTCGCTGGTGAGGACTTTTTTGAAACCTACAGTCCAGTTGTTAAACCCACGACGGTTCGCATATTACTTGCCCTTGCTATATCACAAGGATGGACTATGCGCCAGCTGGATGTCCATAATGCCTTCCTGAATGGGCATCTAGCTGAAACGGCCTACATGCGCCAACCACCGGGTTATGAGGACCCAACGCACCCGGATTATGTTTGCCGTTTACAACGGTCCCTTTATGGGCTTAAACAGGCTCCCCGTGCCTGGTTTAAGCGGTTACATGACTTTCTTTTGACTACAGGTTTTGTGGCATCCAAAACCGACGTCTCCCTTTTTTACTACACGCGAGGCACGTCACAGGTATATCTGCTCGTCTATGTAGACGATATAATCATGCTTGGCAACGACACCGAGCTATTAATCTCTCTACTTAATCAGCTCTCCACCACTTTCAAGATACGTGACTTGGGCACTCCCACCTTTTTTCTCGGCATTGAAACTATACCAGTAACAGATGGTGTTCTACTCTCTCAACGTCGTTACATGGCTGACATCTTGACTCGTGCGGGTATGACTGACTGCAAACCCTTGTCCACTCTGGCTGCTGTCACACAAGCTATTTCTCTACCGATTGGCCCGTATGACAATCCTACTCAGTACCGTCGGTTAGCCGGGGCTCTACAGTATCTGACTATCACGCGTCCAGATCTGTCGTATGCTGTTAATAGGCTCTGTCAGTTCATGCACACTCCGACTGATGAGCATTGGGGTTTACTGAAACGAGTTCTACGGTATGTGAAAGGCACGCAGTCCTATGGTCTCAGGTTGTCTGCTTCGCCATCCGCTGATATTCATGCTTACTCGGACTCCGACTGGGTTGGGTGTCCAGTAGATCGCAAGTCCACCAGTGGTTACGCCGTGTTCCTTGGTACGAACTTAATTTCTTGGGTCTCTCGTAAGCAACGGACTGTCGCTAGGTCTTCCACCGAGGCCGAGTACAAGGGCTTAGCCGACGTTGCAGCAGAAGTTACTTGGGTTGAATCTCTTCTACAGGAGCTTGGGCTACATTCTAGGAATCCAGCGACTTTGTGGTGTGATAATTTGGGCGCCACATATATGTGCGCTAATCCGGTCTTTCATGCACGGACCAAGCACGTTGAGATGACTACCATTTCGTACGAGACAAGGTGACTTCAGGTGATTTCAGAGTCAACTTTATCTCCACCAAGGATTAGTTAGCCGACGTCTTCACCAAACCACTGCCGTCTGCACGCTTTGCTACTCTCCGCGACAAGCTTAATGTTGTGTCTACACCACCTTCAGCTTGAGGGGGAGTGTCAGTAATGTTATATTTCACATTTATTTATTATGTAACATTAGAGTTGAATTAGTCCTATAACTAATAGCTATTGACTAGGAGTAGTTAGATAGGATTCTAATCTCTGTTATTATCTTTGTAACTTCTCAGAATTTGAATCTACGTTAATCGGTTTTCACTCATCGAGGCAACAGATCAAGGGTTCAATGCTCTTCTACAGAATCAGACATGGTGCCAAGTTCTTTCTAGCAAAGATATGAATGTTATTGGTTGTAAGTGGGTGTTTCACACGAAAAGAAAAGTTGATGGTTCAATTGAGAGAGACAAGGCCAGATTAGTAGCAAAAGAGTTCAATCAGGTTCCTGATCAAGATTTCTTTGATATATTCAACCTGGTGGTAAAACCCACTACTGTGAGGTTACTCTTATCTTTGGCTTTATCCTCTAGTTGGGTCATTAGAAAACTGGATGTTCATAATGCATTTTTGAAAGGTAACTTAACAGAAATTGTCTATATGCGTCAACCCCCTAGATATATTGATACACAGTTTCCTAATAATGTATGTCTGCTGAAACGGTCCTTGTATGGCTTAAAACAAGCTCATAGAGCTTGGTTTAATCGTCTACACACGTTCCTTCTATTCGTTGGGTTTAAAGCATCAAAGACAGATGTGTCATTATTCTATTATTAACAAGGTTTTGACGTTGTGTATTTGTTAGTTTATGTTGATGATATACTTGTGATGGGGAGTGATCAGAATCTAGTCAATGTTTTACTATCAAAATTGTCCACTGCATTCAAAATTAGGGATCTTAGTGAACCTAGATTTTTCCTTGGAATTGAAACAGTTAACTGTGTTGATGGAATATTGCTTTCTCAGCAAAGATACATGACAGATATTCTAAAACGTGCTAGTATGACAAACTGTATATCTCTAGCTACTCCTATTCATGTCTCGAAATATGTTCTTTTCAATACAGATGTGTATGATGATCCTACTCTGTACAGCAGTTTAGCTGGGGCACTACAATACCTCACGATCACACGGCCTGACTTTTCCTTTGCAGTCAATCAACTTTGTCAACATATGCATGCTCCTACAGTCTCACATTGAGAACAACTGAAGCGTGTACTAAGGTATGTTAAGGGAACTATTACTTATGGTCTACGTATAAGGAAGTCAGCATCTAGAGAACTTCATGCATTTTCTGATTCTGATTGGGCTGGCTGTCCTGAAGATCGTAAGTCAACTAGTGGTTATGCTGTGTTTCTTGGGTTCAATCTTGTATCTTGGGTTTGTAAGAAACAAAGAACTGTTGCTAGATCTTCTACTAAGGTTGAGTATAAGGCTCTAGCAGATGTCTGTGCTGAGTTAATCTGGATTCTATCATTGCTGCGTGAGATCAATGTTCCAAATATCCATATCCCTAAGTTGTGGTGTGACAATCTTGGTGCTACATACATGTGTGAAAATCCAATTTTCCATGCTCGCACCAAACATGTGGAGATCAATTATCATTTCGTTAGATACAAAGTTGCTTCTGGAGATATTCAAGTAAATTTTATTTCAACCAAAGATCAACTTGCTGATATTTTTACTAAAACTCTGCATGGCCCTAGATTTTCTTTGCTTATAGACAAGCTACATGTTACTAGTATACCATGTGCTTGAGGGAGAGTATTAAGACAATATGTATTTGAGTTAGATTATGATTCTCTATCCTAATCTCCATATGATTCCCTCACTATATATATATATATATATATATATATATATATATATATATATATATATATATATATATATATATATATATATATATATATATATATATATATATATATTCATGTATCATGTATCATGTATCTTTGTAATCAAATTAATTCAATACAATTCATTCAGTTCTGATCAAACTTT